TGTGCCTGCTTGAGGGGAGGGGCTTGGACCTGATGACCTCCAGAGGCCCCTCCAAGCAGTGATTTGGTGAAATTAAGTTCCTTTATGGTTTTTCTGCCCTGCCACTGGAAATATGACTGTAACCTTAGTTTATGCATGTTGATTTTAATGTAGGTAGCACAGACAGCAACTGAATAGTCATAAGCACAGGCTGGGAGTGATATGTGTTCAGTGGAATCTTTGCAATTGTCTTTATTGCTACTATAGCTCCAACCCATTAGACATGCAAACCGCAGCAACACCTCTGAGTTGCAGTGACCCAAGAATGACATTTTGCACCCTTGAGGGAGCAACACATCAATTCATTTACCAGTGGTGTGTTTCACGGTTCTAAAATTTAGGTCAAATCTAGTCATTTATTTGAATGAGGAAAATGGTTGCTCTAGGCTGCTGCTTCTCTGTGGAGAGAGACACTGCTGGAAGCTGCTTCTTGTCTTTGTTGGAAGCTGCTCAGCTGTAATTCAGGTGCCTTGGCTTAAAGATAAAGGGAATGAATCCAGGTGGTAACTTTTAATTGGACAAAAAATTTTAACATCTGTGGCTGAAAAGGCTACAAAAAGCGTTGATGTTGATATTTGGAAAGTATTGATTTTCTGGCTTCTTCCATCTGGCACCTGTCACTGGAAGAACGCTGATGCTAACTTCCCTGTTGCTCCATGTATTTGTGCCCTGGTGCCGAACTCCAAAGAGTGTGGTTGTGCTGAGGACATCTTCCAACTCAACTGCTGGGCCAGGGCTGAATCTGGAAGCCTGAGAAGCGGCCACCACACCTCCACCCCCCAGGGGGAAGCAGTGGCGAGGCTGGGAAGGTGTTGCTGGTAGGCACAGACCTGAACACAAATAGACCACGCATGTCTGCGTCTGGCCACGCAGATCAATGCAGAGGAACACGTGCAGCACTCACACAAGCCGTATCAGCAGCCTCATCCTTTTCCCTCTCAGCTGATCAGGATGAAGGACCGCTAGTGGAAATACTCACGTCCGTACCTGGCCCCTGGATCCCGTCCCTCTGGTTACTTGCACTGGGATAGATGAGCCCCAAGGCCTGCAGCCCCAGGGATTGGGGGGTACAGACCTCCCCGCATGAACACAGATAGCACAGACACGCCATAGACCTCCTGGTGTCTCACCTTGGGTATGCTCTCCATCCCATAGCAGATCTGGATCCTTGCCCTTCTGAGGTGCCTCCTGCCTAGAGGCACTCACAGCTCTGCCTACATCCCCATACCCATCTCCAGCAGTCAGGCAGGACTCCCTGGTCCCTCCAGTAGTCAGGTCCCATGGGTTCGCCCTTAGACACCCCCTCCCCTTGCTCCCAGGCCACCTCCTCACTGTCTCGTCTGGCCTGACATTTGCTGCGAATCACACGTTCACGTGCACGCCTGCAGTCGCAGCAGCTGGTGGGACCCAGGCACACAGGCCCGTGCGACCAGCGGTCCCACTCCAGCTGCTGGCACTCAGACCCCTATACACAGATGCACACGCAGAATAGAGCCCCTTGCCCAGGAAAATAGTTAGCAATGGAGTTTTTTACAAAGACAAGTGTACTGAACAGCCAGCTGTTTGTGTACGACTAGTCCTTCTTAGCCTTTTATTTCTCTGGTTTTTGTTCCTCCACAAATCATGTCAATCCCCTCCTTTACCTGCTTTTGCTTCCTCCCATTGGTCCGAAAGAGCCTTCAGAGAGCTGCTCCCATTGACTGGACACTGGGGCTGAGGCTGCCCTGAGACAGCCCTGGCAGGAGCTCAGATGGGGTATCTGTTCCTCTAAATACTGAATTTGCATTCTCTGAGCTGCCTTTGGGTCTCTGGGCTTGTGGAAATGGGACTTGAATGGGCCGTGGTGGCTCTGGGGTGACCTGAGAGTAGCCAGGGAAGGGTATTACTCAGGTTCCCCCACTCTCCGTTTTCTTTGTGTTCTTTTGTGTATGTGCAGACGAGCTTTTTGATCATGTAACTGAACAGGAACTTGATTTACTAATGAAAGAATTTAAATTTTGTATTTGTAATACCTTGAAAATTCAGAGGGGTTTGGCTGCATTTTATGTGAGAATGAGTTGGTTGGAGCGAGTTAGAGCACCTCCATGGTGTGCACGCGCATGGTGTCATCCCACATCCCCCTCGCAGGGAGGTGGGAAAGGGCAGGTGAGGTGCTCTGGACAGGTGATCCAAACTTCTGGTCATTTCAGCCCCTTTGAAAGGGATCTCGGGAGTCTTACTCTGGGAGGATAACTAACTCTAGAATATTTTTTGATTGAGTAGGCTCACGCGCACTTTCCAACAGTGAGTGCAGTTGTGTCCTTTTACACAAGGCAGAAGGTTTTCTATAGAAGTTGCACTAGCACTTCTCTGGCCTGGTTGGTGGCAGTAGAAAGCAAGGCTTCCTTACAATCACTGCCCTTCTGAACTTCCGTTCCCGTACTGCCTGATGTTTCTTGCTGTGTCCTTGTGCCATGGGTTTGGACCCCTTCACCTGTGTCATGACCATGTGCCCCAGCTGCTGCGTTCCAGGTGTTTGTACTGTGTGGGGGAGGACTGAGGATTTGGCAAGCATTGCTGTTGCCAGCATGGGTGAGGGGCCTCAAGCTTGTGTGCCGTGAGGGTCTGTGCAGAATCTCATACAGCCAAGTTGAAGCTGAAGCACTGTCAGAGTTGATGTTCAGACTCTCTCCTGGCATCAGAAGACTACATGATGGTTTTGGCTGCCTCGGCATTGTCTGCCTGCATTGTGTCCGCTCCTGGCACCAAGCTGTTCCCTGCCCTTCTGATTTGTCCACCTATGCCTCGGTTTCTGCTGGTGGCACATTGTCCCGGATCATGGGAGCCGAATGCCCTTCTCCATGTCTGTTATATGAAGCAGTCACCCCTTCCAATGTTGGTCTGTGTTGGGGTCAGCACTAAGTGGCACCATTGCTCACTTTGTCACAGAGAAGGCAGTGTGTCTATCACACTTCAGTGTCAGGCTCACCCTCCTCCCTTTTCCTACCTAAAATCCACTTGGGTCCTAAAAGGCATTTAACGTGGCTCTAACACTAGCTGAAGGTGACTCTGTGGCTGAAAGGTCCTTGAGCATCACCGATGTCTTGGTGCTGAGTTGCAGAGTATTCTGGCTACAAAGATAATTCCTTTTTTCTGACTTGCAGTGATGCAAGTGATGAAGTCTGTGGTTTTAAATGTCATGAGTAGTCTTATTTTTTTCCTGTTGGCAGAACAAATGTGTGCTTTCATACTTTCTTGTGCTGTAAGATACAACTTAACAATGTTTTCAGCCCCAGTCCATCAACGGCATAGGAGATGGCATTTCTTTGCTGGGAAACTTGCATGTGGTGCCACTTGTTCAGCTTTACCTTTGAGAATTTGAGCAGCTCGTCATTGCATGTCAGGCAGTCATTTTCTAGTGACGACAGATACTTTCTTAGCCAAGGAAGTGATTGCTCTTACGAAAAACTCTCCTGCAGTGCTTCAGCTGAGAAGAAAATGTTGATGGAGAAAATGTTGCTTGTGCTCATTTCCACTCACAAGCTGATCACAGTATGTGTCTCACAGAGTAGGGGATATCCCATCACTTGGCAGGTTCAGGATCAGAGATCTTGATAAAATCATCTCTCATCAGCCTCTTGGAGCTCTGTGTGATCCACAATGAGAGCAGGGTCCACCTTTATCTGCAAGACTCACACTTGCAGGAAGTTTTGAACAGCTCACCTCCAAGGCAGCGTAGGAGTCAGCTGGGTCACTTGCCTTGTGCAAGAGTTGTCTTGGTACTGCTGCTTTCCTGTCTCACATCATCCCTGCATGACTTTGCCCTGAAGGGGTTGGCCCTGGTGTGTCTGTCCGTGACTCAGTTCTGTGACAGGAGATGAGCCTGGGAACCCCTCAGTCCCCTCTCCTTCCTCTGGCAACGCTCCTGATGGCCAGTTGCTGAGCCAGAAGTTTGAAGGTGATGCCAGTCCACTATCATGTATTTCCTACCTGTGTTTTCCTCCTCTCTCAAGGAGTCTTCCAGGATTCTGCATCTGAGAAGACCTATGGGAGCAGGATGCTCGCCACCATTTTGTAGGCCATAAGCTGAACAGGATGGGAAAAGCAAATAGTTAAGGCATACGCAAAGGAAAACTTCGTGGCCTTGGGCAGCAAGGCAAAGCACATCTTCTGTTGGAAGGCTTTTGTAAACAACATCTTAGTCACAGGTTACTGGTAATAAGCTTTCCTTTCTAAATGGAAAGGAAGTCTGTAAAGAAAAATTGATAGGAAGACATAAGCTGATAGGAAGGAAAATTGCTGCAAAAGCCCCGCGTACAGAAACAGTATAGAAAACCAGTTGCAGCTGTTCCTATGCTTTGTTTAGCTCTTTGGCTCTGAATTGGTAGTTTCCAGTGTAAATGGCTTGTTTTTTAACAACTGTGCTTTTGATCCTTAAATCATATATGTGATTCCCAAGAAGAAAACCACTGGTTTTGAGGTTGTGGCTACCGTGGTAAGGAAAGTGATTTTACTGCTGTGTTTGGGATAGGATATGGGGACAGCGCTGTGTGTGCGAGACAGTGCAGGTTCTGCTGTTGTTGCTGAGGTTGTCTTGTGTTCCCTTCCTGCTAGATGTGAAGCTGCAGAGCAGAAGCAGAAGGTACCACTGGGAACTCTGAAGAAAGACTTGAAATCACAGGAGGAAAAGCAGAAACAACTGACAGAGAAAATCCGCCAGCAGCAGGAAAAGCTGGAAGCTCTGCAGGTGAATCTGGAGGTCTCCAGCTAAGCACAGCAGGTTTGATGGACCTCCTAGTGGAAATGGCTGATGCTGAGTCTTGTCTGTCTCAGCCTTTAATGCCACCTGTGCTCCTTCGTGGGGTAGGGGTTGTTTTAATAACAGAAAACAAGCATCTCGGCTTGCATTTCATTTTCTGCTAGGAAAATGGGAAGGGCTGCTGGTGTTTGGATGGAAGGGAAGCCTCTTGAAGGACCCAGAAGACACCTTCTTATAATTGTTGATTTTAAACTGGAAAACTCTTTGCTGGGCTGGGTTCAGGCAGGCCCTGACAGCTTTTAAAGATGGCCTTTCTGATTTTTATTTTTATATAGAAAACCACTCCAATTCGATCTCAAGCTGACTTAAAGAAACTGCCTCTGGAAGTGACCACACGCCCTGCAGGGGAGGTAAATACCGCTGTGGGCTTTGTACTCTTCTGTGCTTTCCTTAGCTGCTCTGAAAAGCAGTGCCTGACTCTTCCATCCTTTCTCTGTACTCTCATTTGTTTCAGAACACCCACTCACAGACCCGACCTCAGCGCCCGCGATCTCCTCCTTTACCTGATGTCATCAAGAACGCTCCCAGCAGACCACCACCACCTACGCCTCTTCCCAAGTCCATCAGTCAGCTCAAAAAGAGTTCTTCAGCTTGGCCAAATATCAGCACTCCCAAACTGGCAAGCATGCTCTCCAAGGAGGAGGCCAGCACTTCCAGGACACACCAGCACACTGTGACAACTGGAAAGTCAAACAGCACTTTAAAAACTCTTGCCAAATCAGGTACAACCTCGAAACCACCCTCTGCTGTGGGGCAGAACCCCAAAAGCTCACGTGAGACACCCAGTCCAAAAGCTGCCAAGGTGCCAGCACTGAAGAAATCTGCCGCTGTGAAATGCCCACAGGTGAGACTCGATGGGATGAAAACTGTCAGCTCCTTACGTACTATTCTGCATAGCCTGTCTTGCTCTGTCACATGGGATTTGCACTGTAGTCCCTGCACAAGACAAGATAATTTTCACTTTAGTCTTGGGTTACAGTGCCATTCTACACTCCTCGTGAAGACTTGTTTCATCTCTTTCCTGTTAGACCAGACTGTTTCCCCAGAAAAAAAAAAGAATGTGGAGTCGTGGGGTGAGTGTTTGCATGATCATGTAGCACCTGCTAAAACCTTCCGGAAAAGCTAATTAACTATCAAATTAAATACTGGATGCTGAGCTTTTTGTATTTTTTTTTTTTTAACTTGGCTGAAAGAAGGTTTTAGTTTATAGCATGCTGGAATTACAGCTAGAGCATGTTTGCTTCCTACAGGCCTCCACCACTCGGAAGAGGACCTTGAACACAACTGAGGACGGGTCTGAGGAGGAGGGAGAGCACAAAAAGGAGAAAACAAAACGGGGCAAATTTGTGCCAGTGAAAGAGGAGAAGAAGGATTCCAGTGAGGTGGTGGTAGAGGTTAGAGTACACTGGTTTTCCCAGCAGAAGGTATTTGTGAAGTGCTTATAATCTTGTTGGGAGGCGTAATCTGAGCTCTCTCTGCTTACAGCTCACAGACAGTGCCGGGGAAGAAGAGCTGGCAGAACTGAAGAAAGCTCAGAAAGGTGAGACATGAACCCTTGAGCTGCCTCTCTGTCTAACACAGTGGAAAAAAAAACTGTGGCGAACTAGACTCACTGGTTAAATGTGTGATTTCAATCAGTGAGTTTTTTTAAAATGAGAATGAGTGTAAATTTGGGTCCCAAACCCCAAGATAACTCTAACTCACATGAAACATTTTGGCCAGGAACCCCTTGATTAGGCAAGAGGCAACTGTGGCACGGGAAGATCTGTAATCTGAGGGCTGCATCACGTTCACGGGTGTGATGCTTCACTGTGTGGCGTAGACTGATGTCGTGCTCACCCTTCCTAATTGAATGGATCGTGGAGCTATGTTAGCTGGGAAATGCAGAGGACTGTATCTAGACCTGCTGCGCTGCTGTGAGAGAAACGAGGCCAAGAGACCCCCAGGAAAGATGCTCGCCAGGATGGTGTTGCACCTTCTGCCGAGCAGAGCATTTCTTCAGCTTGTTCCCAAGGAGCTGTCTGGAAAGTGACCCACTAGGAACACGTGGCAAATTGTCCTTGTGACCAGCACAAGCCTGGAAAGGCTTTGTTAAACAGCCTGGAGTATGGGAGAGACCTTCTGTCTGCAAATGCCATATAATTGCCTTGCATCTTAATGTGTCTGAGTAGGAGTTGAACTGTGCGATAGTAGTGTTTTTATGGTTTACAGGAGATGTCACAGGTTTAGGTTTGCTCCCCACTGAGGGTGCCTGTTTTCTCTAGACCTCATGGAGAATGTGCTCTCCAGCATCTGAATGTTTGCAAACATCTTTACTGTTGTCCTCCTTGCAGACAAAGGGCTGCGTGTGGAAGTGCGTGTGAACAAGGAGTGGTTCACAGGCCGTGTCACAGCTGTGGAGATGGGCAAGCATGCAGTACGCTGGAAGGTGAAGTTTGATTATGTTCCTACAGACACCACACCAAGGGATCGCTGGTAATTATCTCTAGCTACTGGATTTTGGAGGCTTGTTCTGCTTTCAGGAGCAAGACCCCATTTTACTTCCATAGATGCTGAAGACAAATACGTTGCTGTCATGTCAGGGAGCGTGTGTGTGTGCTCAGGACTGCCCAGCTGCTTTGTAAGGAGTGAGCGTGACAGACTCCATGCAGTCTGCCCATCACTTTGATGTGATGTTCCTGTGGAAGCAGCTGCGGTGTAATCTAGTGGTCTCAGAGTGACAGCTGAATACAGGTTCTGATGAAGCTGTTAACCAGTGTTTCAGGTGCGGGCAATGTGGAAAAAGCTATCTGACTTTCCCTTAATATTTCTTTTTTCAGGGTAGAGAAGGGCAGTGAGGATGTGAGGTTGATGAAGCCTCCCTCTCCCGAGTACCAGGCTCCAGATAGGCAGCAGGAAGAGGAGGTTGTTGTGGCTGAACCTTCTACCTCAGACTGTGTCAGAATTGAGCCAGACACCACTGGTCCCAGCAGCAGCCAAGAAACAGTAGACTTACTAGTCCAGATCCTTCGGTGGGTTCACTGCAGTTCTTGTGAGCTGCTGCAGTCTGACTGCTTTAGTCTTTTAAACTCCCAATTCTGGCTTTCTGTTTTTCTTTCCTGCATAGAAATTGTTTGCGGTACTTCTTACCTCCAAATTTTCCTGTCTCCAAGAAGGAGCTGAGTTCCATGAGCTCGGAAGGGTTGTTGGCGTTTCCCTTGGTGAGTTCAGTATTTCTAGAAAAGTGGGGTTTTTCCCCACACACATTCCATTCTTATGGCAAGTGTGCATCTTGTTGATACAAGATCTCACTCTTTAAAAGGTTATTTGGATCCTTAGCAGACTAATGTAGCCGAGAAAAAACATGAGAACCTCTGAAACATACCTTAGGTCTTTTGACAGTTGTTGTCTGAGGATTTTTTTAATTGCCATACATCTGCATGGGAAAGCTGTTGGCTGTTACTATCCTAACTTCTTGTCCATTGCTGTTGAGCTTTTAAAAAAGGCCAGGTTAGAGGTTTGTAGAAACAGGATGTAGGCATACCTGTTTGTTTTGCCCCCAGCCATGTAAATCTAACTTATGTGGAGGCAATCTTAAAAATGGGAGAGGACACAGAAGCCAACTCCCCTCGCACTTCTCCAGGTGAGCAGGCTGGCCACCTGTGAGTCAGCCGTACATCTTAAGGCTTTTGGTGTGGCCTCCATTGATTTCAGCAAGGAACAGATGGGGCTGAGTCTGCCTCAGTATCTGCATGCTCGTATTGGAAGGTCCAATGCAGGCTGAAATGCGGGGAAAACAGCACTGGCTTCTCTGACATACCACAAAGGGAGACCTTTTCAGAAGGCATCTGTAAGTGACAGAATACACCTACAGGTGACCAAATGACAAAAGCCACTGCTTATTTGGTAGTCTTCAAAGTGCCCTACTCCCTCACTCGCAATGCATATATTGGCAGTCTCTCTTGTCTCTTCCTCTTTTCTCTCTGTTAATTCAGGCATCTGCTTCAGTTACTGGTTCTGCTGCTTCCGCAGGACGTGTTGGTCTTGTCTGGAGGTTTCTGCAAGTGTAGATGTTCCTACCTCGCAGTGATAAGCTGTGTTGTCTGAGCGGTGTATGATAACGAAATTGACTGCATACAGGGGCTGTCAGATCTTTCTACAGCATAACTGTGGTTTTAGGCTTTTTAAAACATGCTGCATCCTTAATCTGAATTCAGGCAGGTTTTGTTGCAGTTCTGGTCTTCGAGAAAGGTGAAAACCCGTGTGATTTTTGTGTTGCCTGAAGTAGGCAAATCAGAAATGTAAATGTGAGCGTGGTAACGACTGTGGGCTGGGCATGAAGGGGCGCAGTGTTAGGCTGGTGGTCACGGGGTGCCGGTAGCTGGACTCTTCCACAAGGTGTGAGTGCTGGGCTTTTCTTGACACTCTGTGCTTCTTAATGTGTCATCTGTTGTGTTTTGTCTTCTACAGAAAGAATATTTCAAACAGTATGAGGTAGGTCTGCAGAACCTGTGCAATTCGTATCAGACACGTGCCGACGCCCGGGCCAAAGCCTGTGAAGAGAACCTCCGCAACTCAGAGAGAAAGCTGAGGGAAACGGAGGAGAAACTGCAGAAGCTGAGGACTAACATCGTGGCCCTTCTGCAGAAAGTGCAGGAGGTGGGTGAGGAAGGGGCACGAAACCAGAGCTGCCCCAGGAGTAGCAACCTTCCCCAGGCCCCTCCAGGCACTTGAGAAGTTTTAGTCCAGCATTTAACAGGGCTTCAGCTCTTTCTCAATTGGGTGCAACTTGGGCTTAGACTGTCAGAAGCAGCTGAGTGTGCAGCTGCTGTCGCTGCCCTCCTTTTGAGATCCAGGCCTTGGGGTCCCGATGAGTGTTAATTTTCACAGATGGATTTTTCATGGCATGGACATAGTGCACAGCTTCTGTTTGTTTTCTGCTTTCTGCTATGAAACTTGGGGCTGAAGGAGAAATTCCCTGGGTACAGGCAGTGTCCTGCAGAGAATATCTGCCCCATTGTTAGGCACAAAGATGATGCTAGATTCTGAACCCCATATACAGAAATGCAAACCTGTAAACAAATAATATTAAAAAATGTTATGGTGAAAGCTATTTATTAATTATACTACTAAATATTAAATTGAAATAGCAAATACATATTTAAATAAGAGCTTTAAATAAATAAACTTTAAATTAAAAAAATACTTTAAATAAAATTAAGACCACCCAATGGAACAGATACTGAAAGCAGATGGAAGCAGTTGCTCCCTGTTAGGAAAATGTGTGTTAAAGCTAAAAAAAAAAATACTAACTTGACTCTGATCAGCACAACAAATCTGTTGCTTGAGTGCATTGTTTGAGTATCAAGTGCTGACTGGTGTCCAGGCATTGTCCATCAGGCTCTGACAAGGGAAGCTGGTGGTGCTTTCACAGCAGATGTCAGCAGCTGGAGAGTGCTGGAAGTTGGAGCATAAAGGCTGACCAGGACAGACGTTGCAGAGGATGCTGTGCTGCTCTGTCTTGTCCATTCTTGCACTGTTCTTCAAGATTCACTTTTCACTGGTATTTCTTGTGCCTTTGGTTTCAGGACATTGATATTAATACAGATGATGAACTGGATGCGTATATCGAGGACTTGATCACTAAAGGAGATTGAGCAGCCCCAGTACAAGTCGTAGAGACATGCCGAGGAGCTGGTTGCTGCGATGGGAGATGTGGATTCCTGCAGCGGAGGACTATGGCTGCTGTTGAGAGAGAGGGTTTTTAGACAGTACTTGTGTTGGTGTACAACTTGTTCTTGTGACTTTACATGGAAAAAGACATTTGTGCTGTTGGCAGGAAGATTTTTAACATTGTAGTTCTCCAAATCTCTTCCTTTTGTTTATAAATATTTATTTTTAAAAGAAATAGGAACTGTGCCTGATACGATGGGAGGGTTGCTGTGTGGTTTTAGTGAGGTAAAAATGTGAGTACCCTTTTTGCATCTGGGGTGAATTCATAAGCTAAACCTGGAAGACCAGAACATCCTGCCTAGCAGGTTGTCTCGAGTAAGAACCTGGCAGCAACTTACTTAAAAATAAGCCTTGAGTTTCAGAAGAGGAGGTCAGGACTTAGACTTCAGAGATACTGACCTTGGGCTAGAGAAAGCCAAGTCAAGAATTTGAGCTACACAGAGGAGATCAAACCACAGTCCCTGTGTGAGCGTGAGTGGAGGAGATGAAATCTTGGTGGTTGTGAAGGGGTTGGGAGTAGGGGATTGGCACTTGCCAGTGCAGTGAGGTTCCCGAATATGAGGTCTGTGTAAGCAGGTGGAATTGTCACCACGCTAACAATCAGGGGCTGAGGATCCTTTTAGAAGAGAACGGCCTCCTAGGCTGCTCACAGCAGGTTGTGATCATCAGAGGGAGAAAGCTGGAGTTACGATTCTTTTCTGGCGATCACCTTACTGCACGCTTCTGCTGCTGTTTCTTTGAGACATAATTGCAACAGCAGCAGAACTCCTCAACCAGCTGAAAATAAAGTGACCCTCTGTTCTGTTGTCACTCCCTCAGGTTTGCATTGCTTTGATCAACTTGCTCTTCCAGGTAATTTTATTAGAGTGCTGGAATCTGGACCCTGTGGAGCCCTGTGTTGCTGAGTCCCATTTGGCCCTGGGTCAGCAGCAAGGACAATGCCTTTCCTTGTCCTCCCAGCTGGAGGCTGCACTACAGCTCCTAGCAGACCACTGGTGATCACAGCCAAGATGATTTGGTTTGAGTTCACTGGCTAGCCAGCTTTTCAGGTCTCCTAGGACAAGATGTCCATGAACTCAGTGCTCAGAAAACTGAAATGCCCTACGGCCTGGCGGTGAAGAAACACAGTGCGATCAAGAGGTGCCCACCTTCAGGAACATGAAGTGAAATGGACCATTGGGGTTCTTTTGACAGCTGAATGTGTAATAGATGTTTTGCAAAAAAATTTCTAAATTAAACATCTGTTGCACAGCAAATCTTAAGCACTAATGGTTTATAGTCCTGGAGAACTCCCAAGTTGCACATACCTGCTTGTTACCTGAATTCCAGGTCCTTGTGACAGCACACAGTGAGACTGACTGCTTTCATTCAGGGTCTGGGCCCAGACATTCTAGTATAAATGAAGGTAAGGAGCATCCCCCACACTCTGTACACCTTCCTGGACAAAGGGGCAGTATTCCTTTGAAGCAGGAGCAAGCTCCACCAGTCTTCTTGATTTCCTTACACGTATTAGAAGTTTTGTTAATGGCGTTGGCACACTGGTGCTTCAGATGAAAATGATCCTGTAGAAGCCGAGTTTTATATTAAGGTGAAAGAAGAAATCTTCATCCTTTCCAGGTGGCCAGCAGAAATTCTAAAGAGCCAGATTTCGTGAAAGTACAGTTTAGAGATGATGCTGCTTGCAAGCTATAATTTGTAACACCTGGAGTATACCAATGTGGTACAAATAGCTCTTAGACATTTCTTGAGCTTCCTGACTCAGTTTGATCCCCTAGTCCTGCTCTCCTTTTAGGAAGGCATTACTCAGGTTTTTTCCTCTGTTCTCTGGAAACTTCTCATTTCCAGTTTTAACTTTTTTTCATGGCATTTCATTTTTTTGATCTTGTACCAAATATTTTTGTTTGAGATACATTTCTTCCCTGGAGTTACTTTCATCAGTACAATTGATGTGTCCTCTTCCATTTTGCTAGGAAAAGCAAGCCAAGAACTTTTAAGTGCCTGTTGTGGTTTTACCCCAGCTGGCAGCTGAGCACCATGCAGGCACTTGCTCACCCCCAGTGGGATGGGGGAGAGAAGTGGAAGAGTGAAAGTGAGAAAACTCACGGGTTGAGATAAAGACAGTTTAATAAAGCAACAGCCGCGCGCACAAGCAAAGCAAAGCAAGGAATTCATTCCCCACTTCCCGTCGGCAGGCAGGTGTTCAGCCATTCCCAGGAGAAGCAGGGCTCCATCACACATAGCGGTGACTTGGGAAGACAAACACCATCACTCTGAATGCCACTGCCCGTCCCCCCGCCTTCCTCTTCCTTCGGGCCCTTATAAAGTGAGCATGATGTCATATGGTATGGAATATCCCTTTGGCCAATTGGGATCAGCTGTCCTGGCCATGTCCCCTCCCAGCTTCTTGTGCACCCCAAGCCATCCAACTCTGACTGTGTAAGCACTGCTCAACAACAACAGGTCCATATAACAAAAACATCTCTGTATTACCAACACTGTTACCAGCACAAATCCCAAACATTGCCCCATGCTAGCTACTGTGAAGAAAATTAACTCCATCTCAGCTGAAACCAGGACAGTGACAATAAAACAAGTTTTTCATTCTCAAAACCTTCCTGGTAGTCCTTCTCTACAGCTCCCTCGATTTTATTTTTGTAACCTTGCTAAGTAGACCTATGTATAACGTTAGGTGTTATACATGCCTTTTAAAAACATAGAAACAAAACGACCTCTGGAGGTCATCTCTATCAGCTGCTCCAAGCAAGGTGTACTCAGAAGCTGTATCGCATTGGTCAGGGTCATTTCCAGTTGAGCTCTTAAAAGCTTGGCGGTGGAGGTTGCACCACTTTTGTGCATTGCACACTTCTCCAGTGAATGTGTCCTTCCCTTGTAGCTAACAAGGGTGTCCCTGTTGCAGCTTTGGAGGCTGTTACAGCTGCCTATTGAAAATCACCTGCAGTCATGGCAGTTAGACCTGTGTTCTGATGCAACGTCTGTGCTCAGTTCCCTCAGTCTTCTCCACTTCCAGCTGTTTCTTAAAGCAGAAATACTAAGAAGTACGTGAGTTGCATTTTGTACAACATCCCCTGTCTTTATAAGATCACCGTAAGTCACTCCTTCGTGCCCATCATTACAATCATCCATTTTGGAAATTCCTCCCACAGCTGACACCCAGATACTCTGTAGCATACATAGTTCTATTGCTAAGGTTGCTAATTTATGTATTTCATAATGAGGCAGGAAAACAACTTTTAACATGAAGTTTTGGGTCTCATGATGATTATTGTTCCAGGCCAACTTTGCTTCAGTCTCTCATCTGCTGTAGCGCATGGCCTTTGGGGCTTTTCTCAGCAGGACCATGATTATCCTTGCTGCTTCCCTCACTGAAGTGCCAGACTTACCTGGAACCCAAGGTCTCTGTCAGGTCTGCTACCTTGTCCAAATTCACCCAGTTTCTCTTGCAGACTGTGGAACAAGAACACCTGAGCTCACAGCAACTGTCTCTCTCCCAGTGCGAGGGGCACGGTCCTGCCTGCACATCTTTGAAGGGTCATGTGTTGCTGCTGTTCCTTCAGTGGAGTCTTGAAACTCCACATCACCAACATCAGATATGGGGTTTGATTTTATGGCTACAGGATCAACATGTCATTATTTTTGCAAGTCATTCCTGCAGCCTATAGCGAGGACCGACTGGGCTTTGTGATGCCGCTTGCTTTCAGCTGCCTCACAGGGCTGAGGGCTGGGGCACGCTCAGTCTCCTCTTCTGCCGCTGCCTTACCCAAAAGGCGCAGCAAATTTCTCTGCCAGTAATCTTTCTGATCTCCAGGACCCAGGGTATCTTGATCTGTTCAGGAGAGTACGCGTTATCTTGAAATCCCTCTTAGCAGCATCTGAATTTGTTCATGGTCTCAGAGTCATGGTCATATGCGACCTAACTTGACCAGTGCCTACCGTGTGGGATGAGACCAGCAGGCAACTCTTGGATGATATCAGCAAAGCTGCAGCTGCACTGTGCACAGCAGGAGCAGTGGAGACCCTTGTCTAAGCCTGCAGCAGAGGGAGGGTCCAAGAAAGCTCTCCAGAACACCTCGGGAGGTCTGGAGGACTCAGGGGACCTGCCACATTAGTGAAATAAGAGTCCCAGTTCATGGGGACCTCCGGGAGCCCAAGCCGCATGTCCAGGGGTCCCTGCCCTGTGGTTTCAGTGTGTGCAGAAACCAGGTGCTTTGGGCCACTCCAACTCTCAAACACTCCCTCTTCTCCCTGGGCTGCAGCCCATTGAACAGAACAAATTGCAAATTCACCATCCCCTCATCCTGCTGGGAGCTCCCCACCACAGGGTGCCACCTCTGGCTGCCCCAGAAGAGGGCAGAGGATGGCTCTGGGGATATTGAGGCCCTTCTAAGGCTGCTGTTGTTACTTGAACACACTGAGCAAAGAATCTGAGCAGGGAGGGACATGTAGAGTTGTGTAAGTACAGTAGGAATGTGGTGCTGCAGAGCCCATCACTCTCATTGGGAAGGAGGAGCCTGACTCCCAGTGTCATGGGCAGCTGGGACTGGAAGATAAAAACCCCAGAAGCCTTGGCTCAGCCTGGAAGAAGGGAGGTTGCGTGCCATTCCAAAGTGGTATGGTACACCAAGCCCACAGCCCTTGTTTTCCCTGTCTCCTCTTTCTGAGAAGCTGTGGCTGCCTGCAGCAAACAGCGATGGTGCTGTGCTGCTGTGTGCAGGCCTGCCATGCCTGGGGCTGGGTGCCTAGATGAGCCTGTACTGTGTGCGCAGGTGATGGGGTGGGCTCTGGTCTGGCTGGGCTCTGCAAACAGCTGCTGAGAAGCTGCAGTGAGAAGCCAGGTTGGGGCCAGTGCCACCATGCTTGCTCCTGCTGCCTGCATCCCTGTCTGATCTCAGAGTACGTGGCTTTGGTTTTGCTCACCAAGGCGCAGGCAGCTGTAATGCTGCAGGTCTGGTGACTTTGTGCCCTCCTCACCCAGTGTGGCTCTGGCACCAGGGCCGTTCCCCTTCTGCCTCTCCTGGGCCACACTTGGCCAGGCTGAGGTGGAGCTGCCAGCTCAGCTGCCAGGCGTGAGCTGCATGGTGGGACCCCTCCAGTGAGGGTACTACCACCAACTCATCAAGTGTCTCTTTGTGCAGAAGCCACCAGCGCCTGGGAAC